GCCTTCACCACCCTACTTCCTGTGTCTGTGTAAAGCATGTATGCATATCAGTTCCTTGGTTAATCTCTTTCTGTCTCCCCACCACCTTTCCCTCTGAGGTTCATCAGTCTAGTCCATGTTTTCATGCCTCTGGTTCTCTTTTATTCATTAGATTCCTTGTTCATTTATTCTGATGTTTAGATTCAGTTGTTGATAGATGTGTATTTATTGCCATTTTATTCATATTTTTTATCCTTTTTCTTTCTTCTTCTTGTCAAAGGAGACCCTTCAACATCTCCTATAGTGCTGGTCTGGGGGTGATGAACTCCTTTAGCTTTTTCTTATCTGTGAAGCTCTTTATCTGACCTTCAATTCTAAATGATAGCTTTGCTGGGTAGAGCAATCTTGGTTGTAGTTCCATGTTTTTCATCACTTTGAATATTTCTTGCCACTCCCTTCTGGCCTGCAAAGTTTCTGTTGAGAATCAGCAGACAGCCGTATGGGTGCTCCCTTGTAGGTAACTAATTGCTTTTCTCTTGCTGCTTTTAAGATTCTCTCTTTGTCTTTAACCTTTCGCATTTTAATTATGATGTGTCTTGCTGTGGGCCTCTTTGGGTTCCTCTTGTTTGGGACCCTCTGTGCTTCCTGGACTTGTAAGTCTATTTTTTTCACCAGGTAGGGGAAGTTTTCTGTCATTTTTTCAAATAGGTTTTCAATTTCTTGCTCCCTCTCTTCTTCTGATATCCCCATGATGCGAATGTTGGGCCGCTTAAAGTTGTCCTAGAGGCTCCGTACACTATCTTTATATTTCTGGATTCTTTTTTCTTTTTGCTCTTCTGGTTGGGTGTTTTGTGCTTCCTGATATTCCAAATTGCTGATTTGATTCTCAGCATCATCTACTCTACTGTTGATTCCCTGTAAATTATTCTTCAATTCAGTTAGTGTAGCCTTCATTACTAACTGATCCTTTTTTATGTCATTGATGTTCTCACTAAGTTCCTTGAAGGTCTCATCAGGTTCTTTGAGCATCCTTATAACCATTGTTTTGAACTCTGTATCTGGTAGTTTACTTGCTTCCATTTCATTTAGTTCTCTTTTTTTTTGGATATTTCTTCTGTTCTTTCATTTCTGACATGTTTCTTTGTCTCCACATTTTGGCTGCTTCCCTGTGTTTGTTTCTATGCATTAGGTAGAGCTGCTATGTCTCCTGGAATTGGTAGAGTGGCCTTGTGTAGTAGGTCTCCTGTAGGGCCCAGTGGCTCAGCCTCCTAGTCACCTGATTTGTGCACTCTAGGTGAACCCCTGTGTGGGCTGTATGCACTGTCCTATTGTCATTGAGCCTTTATTGCTATTGGCATCACTGGGAGGGATTGACCCCCCAGGCCAATTGGACCAGCTACAGATACAGTGAAAGAGCTGTTGTGCAGGAGCTGACCCTGTGGATTAGGACTTGCTTCAATGGGGCTTTGATGCTCACTGAGTGCACCCCTTGAGCGTGTTGCTCATGGATGGGGTAGGGTGGTAATCTGGAAGGGTCTGAGGCTGACCACTGGGTGCACTTGCTCTGAGGCCTCCCAGGAGGTGCAAAGTCAGCTCTTGCTTGTGCCCTGCCTGGGGCCACCTGACACAAGCTACAGAGTGATCTGCAGATGGCTGCTACTTGTATTGGGCTTAGAGATGCCCAAGAGAGGCCAAGCTGTGAACCAAGGCAGGCTGCTGCTAATGCCAGGCCTGGGGCCACTTAGCAAAAGGTCTGGGGCACGCTGAGGCCAGCCGCTGCTTGTCTGAGAGATTTTAGGAGAGTCTGAAGCCTGAACCAGGACAGCCCAGGTTGATGGAGACTCAGATATAGTGACTGCCTGTCGGTGATGTGGCGGGGAGGTTTCAGTAAAGGAACAAAGACCTCTGCCAACACTTTTGTCTGGGAGAAAGCTGCCTCCCCCAGTTCTTGCCCTGATGCTAGACAATTTAGTTCCTTCCCATGTCTCTGGATCCTTTCAAGCTGCTGCCCAAGCACTGGAACTCAGAGGGAGTGAGTCTGAGTACGTCCATGTGCCCACCCTTTAAGCGGAATATCTGGGATTCCAGCAGCCTCTGTGTCACTTAACCACATTCCCTGCTGGTTTTTACAGCCCAAAGTTACGGGGACTTCTCTTCCTGGCACTGGAATGCTGCGCTGAGAGATCTGGTGTGGTGCTGGGACCCCTTGCCCCTCACGGGAAACCTCCACTGCCAAGATACCCCTCCAAGTTTTAAACTGCCACACATGGGTGTGGGACCAGCCCATTCCTTGCCTCCACCCCTCCTACAAGTCTCAGTGTGGCTTCTTCTTTAATTCTCTAGTTATAAGACTTCCATTCAGCCAGATTTCAGGTGGTTCTGAATGATGGCTGTTCTGTAGTTTTGTTGTAATTTTGATGTAGTTGTGGGAGGAGGTGAGTCCTGCATTTACCTATGCTGCCATCTTGTCAAGCCCCCTTCTTATTAAAAATTCTTTGCGCACTTTTGGCTTTGACAGGCTGGTATTTTTCACATCCTGGCTTAGTTGCCATGAATAATCCAGTTTAGATCATTTTCTGGAAAGTAAATATAGACAGTAGGCCTTTTTGCAGTTAATAATTGCCTGCTGTTTGGTATTTCATTGGCTAAAAATATATAACAAAACTTTGACAATTCTTTACTTCATTTTCTTTTTGAAAATGTTTTGTTCTAAACCTGTTAATCCAAAGTGCTATTTAGATACTACACTGTTTTTTATCATGATGCCTGAAAGCCTCTCTTTCTGTGGTCAGTGTTTTAAATTGTATAACAGTGAGCACTGTCACACATTTGATGTAGTACAGGTGTTCGGCACAGTTCTTCAGATTCTCAGAGGTGAGAGGCTCCATAGTCCAGTCTCCTCAACAAATGGAAAAACCGAAGCCGGGGCAGGAAGGTCATGCTATCTGACCCATGGATGTTACTCTGAGCAACTTAGTGATGGAACCAGGACATTTCTCCATCTCTCCTAGTTTAACAAAAAATAAAAATCCTTCATTGCCCCCAGAACAACTGTGAACCCCACTTCCCAGCATCTGAGGCCACCACATTGTATATAGAAGTGTGCCTGTGTCTTACCTCAGGACAGCTACCCAGAGTCCAGGGCTAAGAGTGGGAGGGTCTCCAAGTTCACACTGGGCTCTGCTGACTGGGCAGGCTCCCTGCCTGTGCCCAACCTCACTGTCCTGTCTGAAGCGAGGGTCCTGATGCTCCCTGCGATGGTGCATTCACAGCACTGTCTTTGGCCTCCCAGCAGCTGGCACCAAGTAATGCAGCCACCCCGTTACCCCCTAACTCACAGAATTGCAGGCCTTTTTCCATCTGGACATTTCTCTATATCTCACTCTATAGGATTTTGAACAATTTTCATTTGGCTGAATTTTGAAAGCTGTGGTATTAGGTTCATGGGTGCAGGAGGTTGGGCTTTTTTCTTTTGTTGCAGAGTAGAGGGACAAGTTCAGCTTAATTTTTTAAATATCCCACTTTTTTTTTGAGATGCTTCAAAGTGCTTATTTTAGGTTCTATTTTTTTTTTTAATCTTCACCCGAGGATACATTTTCCATTGCTTTTCAGCGTGGGAGAAGAGAGAGAGAGAGACATCTATGTGAGAGAGACATCGATTCATTGCCTCTCACATGTACCTTGACCACCAGGTCTGGGGATGGAGCCTGCAACCAAGGTATGTGTCCTTGGCCGGAATCGAACCTGGGACCCTTCAGTCCTCGAGCCAACGCTCTAACCACTGAGCAAAACCAGCCAGGGCTAGGTTCTTTTCTACAATCAGAAATTGTTTTACCACTTAAAACAGGCGTCAGCCAACTCTTGTCTTCTGCCTGTTTTTATTCAAGTGTGAATGGAATGGATTGCACCTTCATTTGCGATGTCCGTGGCTGGTTTCACTTACACAGACAGAGTTGAGTAGTCCAGTTACCATGTGGCCCCAAAGATCAGAATATTTACTCCCTGACCCTTCAAGGGAAAGCTAGGCAAACCTTGGACTAAAGTTGTAACGGCTGGAGAAATATCTGCAGTGGTTTTCATGCACACATGCTTGGTGGTCACAGAAAAACACTCAGTGAGTGCATCTCTCTCGCCAGCCAGGCCCAGTCCTCTGTGCAGCAAGCATCCTTACGCATCTTTAGAGCCACATTTGCCTGCACGGCCATAGTGCTGTCAGGACTGAACCGCAGCTGCGGGCCCAGGGTGGTTGGCCACTGTCTCCTCTGCCTGTGAGGAGGGTGTTCCCACCATCCTGCCTCTGGTACCTCAGGACAGCCAGATTAAACAGAGTTCTGCAGTTCAAGCAGAATCTGAGCCTTTTGCAGATACATTTTGTGTGCTAATAAATGTGTAATATAGCTTAATTCATTTTTTAAAGGGAAATATTTTTCTCTGACCCATTCAAGATTCAAAATTAAAAACTTAATCAGTTATGTAATGGCAAAAACATTATAACCTCAAAGCTGATTATTAAAAATACGTCAGTGATCATTTCCTTGGTACTTAATACCAATTTTTCCACACGAGTAACTTGGAGAGCTGTGCCTGGGAAGAACCCATCATGGGCAGCGTCCCAGTCAGTGCTCATTTATTCCTGCAGATTGTCCTGCAGATTCCCACAGAACCACAGAGCTTCAGTGTAGAAACCTTTCCAAAGGCATTTTCCAAAGTGTAACCCTTGGGGCTTAGGGGCCCAAGAGATCAAAACCTGTTTTAGAATAATGTTAAGATGCCCTTGCCTTATGTGCTGTTGACATTGGCACCGATGTGGCGGACATCGTGGTAGAGAAAGTGCTGTCTCTTCCACACAGGTGAGGCAGCAGCACAGGCTTCACTGTCTTCTTCAGCACCCACCACCTCACACAATCAGGAGAAGATGCCAGTTTGTGTAAATGATCTTGACAAAGGGAGTAGGAAGTGCTCCAGGGCACTCATGCTGCCTCTAGACTCAACGTGTCCAGGGAAGGTGCCACTGGGGGACAGAGCTGCGGCTGGAAGACCAGTGTTGCTGGAAAGGAGAGCTAGCAGATGTACTGTGGTGGTTCAAAGTTGCGCATTTGGTAGACATTTTCTAAAAAAAAAAAAAAAAAAAAGAATAAATCATACCTTGTTTACAAACAGCCCAGCATTGGCCCAACAAGTCCGCATCTCAACAAAGATTGTAAATGTTTACTCTAATCAGACCTAACCTTGATCACAGATGTTATTCTATGTGTCTCCTATCTTTTCATTGTAAAATGATAAACTCTTCACCACCACCCCACACCCCACACTTTTTATTTTTTATTTTTTGATTAACCAAAGACTCAGGAAGGAAGAAGGAAGAAAAATCCTTTCCTCTAAAAGATGCCAGCCCCAGCATGGCCCTATCGTATGTCAGGGAGCTCAAAACATAGCGCAACCTTCCATTAGGAAGGCACTTGACCTTGGGAAAACGTATCATTGACTGATACCAAAGGGATTAGCAAGTGCTCCATTTTCTGACTCTGTCTTCAATTACTTTGATGAGCAATTAAAATGCTAATTAAAAAACAATCCAAAACTTAGCACTCAGAAGGTTATGAAATCATGCGCTCACATGTCCGACCACACAGACAACTAATAAGGTCACCAAACAAAGGATGGTTAGAAAGATTTCAATCATCATAATCATGTTAATGCTCAGTTCTTTTTATGTGTTCACAATAACCATACCATTCTCACAATAACCATGAATTAATTTATTTA